CTGGCCCATGCTCTGGTTTCCGGCAGCGGCCGGCCTGGCGCCCGCAGGAGACCCACAGAGAGGAGGAGAGGGCAGCAGCCATTTGCCTCTGGGCAGCTCTCGGCCCCCTGCTTCTTCTCGGTACCGGATGGAGCCCCTCCTGGCAGGAAGCTACCCCTGTGCGGCCCTCCAGGATTCCCCTTCAGGAGGGGCTTGGAAGGCAGCAAGGATGGGGAGGGCCTTCTCGGGGTGGCCCCCATTCCGGAATGAACGCGACACCAGGGCAAGACCACCTTCTGCTCCCAGGCATTTGGCAGCACAAGATGAGGCTTGATCAGGCCTTCCGGGCCACTTGTTGTCGACGGTTTCAATTGGGCTTTCGACACAGGCATTTTTCTCTCTGCCTCGTACGCGTCTGTGTTTGTGGGTGTCTGTTTTTTATAACAGATTTTTTAAAAGGGTTTAGCCTTTCTCCTGTGCCTGCAGAACTCCAGCTATTTGGCAGTGCAGGAACGAAATGAAATAAAATGAAATGAAATAAAAAGAAATGAAATGAAATGAAATGAAATGAAATGAAAAGCGGCGCTTGCTTTCCATTCAGTGAGATTGTCTCCAGGTCTCTGCAGAGCTGTCGCATGCCCTGCATGTATATGGAGAAGGGTTTGTGGGGGGGGCGCCTTCCGGCAGCTTCCGCACCCACTCCGTCCATCAGCGTGCCTGTCCCGTCCCGTCCCGGGAGGGAGCCGAGCCGAGGCGGCCTCCTTGGCGACAAGAACCATGCCAAGAATATTCATCTCAGCAGCCAAGAGCAGACTGAGGCTACAAACCTCCGGCCGATCGGAGAGGGTCTCTGCCCCGGAGCCGGTGTGGGTGCGTGGCAGAGAACGCCGCCCCTCCAGGGACCCGACTCGGATGAGATGCCCCTTCGCTACCAAGCCAGGAAGATGTTCCGCTGTGCTCCTGCGCCTTGGTCTTCAGCCACGGGGCAGATGGTTGCTGGAGTCCAGCCACACCGGCAGGGATGCATGTTCCCCAAACCAGCTCCTAAGGGAAAGTTCCTGGCGTGGCGCTTCAGCCCGCCCGCCCGTCGGCAGGGAAGGATGCTGGATGCGTCCTTGGTGCCCAGGTCTCTCCAGAGCAGAAGCCGCCCGCCCGCCCGCCTGCAGCAGCTTCTGGGGTGCCCAGCCAGGAGGGGGATGCGGCACGCGGGGGGAAGGGAGCCCCCCAGTCCGGGACGTGCCTTTCCCCTCGTGGCGGCCACCCCTAGACGTGCACAGAGCAACCTTCCTGTAAGCCTCCCCATCCGCCCAACAACGACCTTGACTCCAAATGGAGGCAGCCAAGAGGAGGCGGAAGAACAAGGAAAACGCAGGCGGGAGCGAGCCGCTTACCTGGCCCCGAGTCCTTAGCCCAAGGAATAAACAAACGGCAGGCCGCGACGGTCTTTTAATAGCCTGGCTGATTGTATTTCTGACACCGGCGCGCCTTAAACTATGGTGTTGCTATAACCCCCGGAAAGACGAGGGGTGAATTAGCGTCGGGGAGAGAGCGGCTCTCCCCCCTTAACGACAGCCAGTGAATCACACGCCACTGGCAACTCTCCGGAGCAGGTCGGCTGTGAGCTGGCGCATAAAAAGCGGTGCTCGCGCCGGATCCCGTGCCTCTTTTACCGCCGCGCTCATTCACTTTCCGTCCCAAGACTGGGCAGATTTTAATTAAATAGTCATTCGCTGGGTTGTTACTCTGCCTTGGATGCTCTCCAAATGGCAGTGTTTGTTGCAAAAGCGTCGCGGGGGGGACATGTTCCCTCCCGCCCCCCACATCTCCCCCCAGCCCTCCCTCCCCGCAGCAGTTCGCCGAGGTTCATCTTCCGCAAATACCGCTAATTATGTTTGCCTGGCAGCTCGCCAGCCTCCCCGATAGCATCTTTTCATTAACGCTGACCTCGCCGCGCTCACAAGGTGCCGGCTGCCATTCCTGGCCTATTTCCTTCCTGCGGGAAGGCTCTCCCTTGCAGGGGGGCGCATTTCTGCCGGAAAAGGTTTGCGGGGGAGTGCGCAGTGGGCAACTGAGGCACCGGGTCGCCCGGAGAGAGCCGGGCGGGAGCTAATTGCCGGACCGGCCGGCTTCCTCTCGCGGGCACCGATTCCAGGGAGCCCCAGACGGCGGGGGGCTTCCTCTCCCCTGCCTGTGGACACAACCTCGCCCTTGTGCTACCACCAGGCCTTGTTGTTGGGATTCAAAAATCCCTGGGAGCAGCGTGCTGGGAGCTTCCAAAGGACGGGAACACGCAGGCACACCTGTAAGCTCGGGGCTGGCGGCCAAGCCAGCCCCCAGGACCAGGATACCCCAGCTCTGATAGCAGAATAGGAGGAGACCGAAGACTTGAGATTTTGCAACCTTACTTGAAGGGGTCGGAGCGTCAGCTTGCTTCACTTATTTCAAAATATGGAAAACCAGCCCTACAGGGTCCGGGAGCGCCTCCTGCTTGTTCTGTTAACTAGGGACCCGGTTGCCTGCCCGGCCAGTCCCACCTGCTGGCGCCGCTGGGCTGTCCAGTGTCGGAATGGGACGCACGAGCGGAATGATGGGACAATGCCCGCCTCGCGGAAAGACACACGCAAGCGGAACGCAAAAGCACCAGACCCATCGCGGCCTCTGCCTTGGTCCGACTTTGCCTCTCTGTCTAATTGGACTCTCGGGTTGATCTGCACGCGCGGCTTTCCAAACACACACTCAAACTGCACGCATGTGCGAGATGTACGATTTAAAGGACTTGGCGCATATTTGTGGAAGGTGCAAATCTTCCCACACACAATTGTTGAACGCAGGCATGTGACCAAATACATTGCTTTGGCCCGCAGATCACACTGCAAGCTCAGAAGAGGACGGTGCGGCTGGATAAACCCCGACCGAACGCAAACCGAAACAAATGTCTCAGCTGTGAGCCGGACTATTCCAGGGAAGTCAAGCTGCATGTCACCCATCTTGGACAACTCGATAGCTAAAGAAGAGCAGTCGCTTGAAATTGGTACCCGGGATGGGTAATTGGCGGCACTTTGACCAAAATGCAGCGGGAGAGAGTAGGATATAAAGTGCATTAATGATTACGGCAGGTTATGTATCTTAATTATCCAATTTCAGTCACTTACTGGAAAGGAAGCGGCAAGGGCAGGCAGTAAGAATGTGGATTAACATATGCCACAGAGTTTCCACCGGCCCCTTTTAATGCTGTTTAATTTTGTTTTATTTGCATATTCAAACTCTCAGGAAATCGCGAAAACAACCACCGCACGCAGCCACTTAATTGTGTGTAGACATTCAGAAGCGGCAAACCTTGTGGCGACCTGAGCGTGTGCAGATCCCGCCTCCCCCGTCGCCATTGGCCAAGTTCCTGGGACATCATGACATGTTCATAAACATTCCCATCTGCTTGGGAAGGGAACCCTGGAATATTGGAATGTTGTCAAACACTGCAGGTTTCTTGGAGGGAAGTGAGAGGCTTGTAAATGTATTTTCCGGAGCGGTGAGGGGTTCTTTGCCCTCCCTGGATGCCAGTTCGGTGGGAAAGCAGGAGAGAAGCAAAAACGGGAGCCGCTCACTTATCGCACAATTCCTTTGCTACCGCGTCCTGCGGAGACCAGAAATTCAGTGCCTCTTCCAGGTGTTTGTGTGAGAACCTCTGATTTAACAAGCACTAATCAATTGAGCCCATCTTGCAAAGGGGGTGGCGGTTGCGTGTTCCTTTGAATCCAGGAGGTGCAACATTACAAGCAGCTTTCCAAAGCCCCGTCTGCTCGGGAAGGCGGTTTGTGGGAAGGAAATGCAGGTGCCGGGCAAGAGCCTGGATGAAGCTACGTGGCCTTGCTCGAGGGGGCCGGGAGGCGTCGCAAACGGCGGGGAAGAAGGGAGACGGAGCAGTGGGAAGGGCAGGCTGGGCAGCGCCCGGAGCACCTGCGTTCAGGCGGAAGCCCCAGCCCATCCTTGCGCAGCCCAGAACGAGGCAGCTGATGCCCGGGGCCAGGCCCGCGGCTTCGGCAAGGCCCCCTCCCCTCACGGGCCCGCCTTCTCCCCGCCAGGGTCCCCTGCGGCCCTTCCTTCCCAGGGGGCCACCACTGGCTCGCTCAAGGGGCAGGGGGCCGTCGGGGGCATCCCCCGCCTCTCCTCCATGCCTCCTCTGGTTGGGGCGCCGCAAAGAGCAGACAGTCCAGCGGGTTGCTCAGCGAAAGGGGAGGAGCACCTCCGGAGGCTCTTCCTTTGCTGGGCCCCTGCCGGGGCGGGCCCTTGCGCCATGCCCAACCAGGCCCACCCACGGCGCCCATCCTGCTTCTTCCGCTGGGACGCCCGCGCACACGGGAGAAGATGTTTCTTCCTCGCTCTCCCAGAACACGAGACCTCGGGGCCATCCAATTAAACTGATTGGCAGCCGATTCGCCACAGACCTTTGCTCGTTTTGTTTATGCGCACCACATAATTAAGGCACGGAATCCGCTGCCATTGGGGGGGGGGAAGCGGGGAGAGCCGTGGGAGCGCGCTTGGCCGAGGCGGCGATGGCTGTGGAAGGGCGGCTGACCAGTTCGGGCGGGGGGCAAGGGCCCAGCTGCCACAGGGGCAATGCCTCCTGCTTCACCCAGCCAAAAGCGCCGGGGCTCGCACTGCAGCCCAGGGAGGCCCCAGCCCCCTTCTGGCTGCGGCCCCCGGGGTCCTCTGAAATGGAAGCAGCCCCCGGGCCCCGAGGGGCTTCCCCACCGCTACGCTGGAGCGTGGTGGGCGGCAACGGCGGCTCGGCAGCTTCCGCTGGCCCCCCGCTCGGCCCCGCCCTCTGTGGAGCCCGGCCCGGCCCTCGAGCCGCGGCTGGGTCCACGTGTGGCCCCACAAGGCCGTGTGCGCCTTCAGCCACAGCGCTCGCCCCACGCCTGCGGCTCCCTCCTCGGACAGGCGTGCGGCGACGGGTCAGCGAAGGAGGGCCCTCCTGGCCCACAGGCGGGAGCGAGGGCTCGGGAGCCCCCCGCCGGTGCCCGTCAGACCCGCGTCTGCACCGCCCCCCCGTGGCACGTGTCGGGCAGCACCAGGGCCAGGGGCAGCAGCGCCCCCCGCGGGGAGGGAAACCTCTGCAGCTCCTTGCTCCCGAAGCGCGGCGAGACGGGGTCGGCCAGGAAGCGGAGGTGCAGCTGCGGGCCGATGCAGTGGACCAGGTTGCCCACGACGGCGCACCGGAAGGCGGCCGGGACGGGCGCCGGGTGGGTGGCGCACTCGTACCAGAGCTTCGCCCGGGCGCTGCAGCGGTACACGGCGATGCCCCGGCTGCGGTTCAGGTCGAAGCGGTAGATGAAGCCGCCGGCAGTCACCATCTCGGCCGTCCGGTCCCGGCTGCCCCCGGTGAGGCTGACCTTCCAGGCGCCCCCCTGGCCGGAGTAGCGCAGCAGCTTGTAGCGCAGCGTGCCCCCTGTGGCGTAGATCTCCCCGGCGCAGGCGGTGGCGGTGTGGGCCACGGCGAAGGCGTCGCTGGGCAGGGGCGCGGCGAAGGCCCAGCGGTCCAGGCGGGGGTCGTAGCGCTCCACCGTGTGCAGGCACTCGCCGCCGATGGCGTAGAGGCAGCCGTCCAGCGCGAGCAGCTTGCAGTGGGGCCGGGCCTGGTTCAGCGGGCAGAGCTCCCGCCAGACGCGGGTGCAGGGGTTGTAGCAGAAGACCCGCCGGGAGGGCCGCTGGCTCGCCCCGTGCCCCGTGCAGCCGGCCGCCACGAAGAGGTAGTTGAACATGGCGCAGGCGGCCGAGCCCGTGGAGGCGGCCTCGAGCGGCAGGTGCGTCAGCAGGCGCCAGGCGTCGCTCTGGTCGTCGTAGACGCACAGCCGGCTGGCGTGGGGCCCCCGCGCCCGCGCGCTGACCTCCGCCACGGCCACGCAGGGCCGGCCCCGCATCCTCCGCTGCAGGATCAGGTCCCTCTCCGCGGCGTTGAGGCGGCCGTAGATGGCGGGGGTCCTGAGCACCTGCAGGTAGTTGTCGCTCATGACCCGGTAGGCCGCCTCGCGCAGGCGCTCCAGCCCCCGCTCCTTGGCCAGGCAGAGCAGCTCGCAGCAGTTGCCCAGGTCCACGTGCATGTCCAGCGAGGCGGCGGGGCTGAGCGGGATGCGGAAGAACTCGGCGCCGGCCACACGCTCCACCGTGGGCTGCTCGGCGGCGCTGCTCCGGACGGAGGCCGCCAGGGCAGAGGCGGGGCTGGCCTGGGGCAGGCGGGGGGCCCGGCCGGGCTCCTCGGGGGCCGGGGAGCCGAAGCCGTCCATGGGCACCTGGAGCTCCGGGTTCTCCGCGATCTCGCGGAAGCTCTCCTTCCGGCTGAGGCCGCCCCGTGCGCCCGGCGGCTGCTGCGGCTGGTTTCCTCCGGCGGGATCCCGGCTCGGGGCTTCTGCTTGCGCGGGGCTCGACTCCCCCTGCGTGAGGTGGAGCGGCGTCTCCGGAGAGGGGCCCGGGCCCTCGGCCGCCGCAGCCTGCCCCTCCTCTGTGGCGGGACCCGGGGGGGCCTCGGGGCCACTGCTGGGCACGCTGGGCACCGGGGGGGCGCAGGGGGGGCTCTCCTGCACCTCTGCCCGGGAGACGGATTGCGCGTAGTAGTCGTAGATTTTGCCCCGCAGGCCGGGCCCGTCCGCGGCCCCCCTGTCCTGGACGAAGCCCTCCGCCACGTGGACCTCGGCGATGGAGCAGAAGGTGTGTGTGGCGAGGGAGTGCCCACCGCTCTGGCGCGTCACGGCGCCCACGCTGGAGGTGGCATGGAGCACTTGGACGGGAGAGGCTTGCCTTGGGGCCGCACGGCCTTGGCCGTAGTCTGCGGGCGGCCGGCCTCGCTCGCCTCCGAAGGAAGGCCCTCGCTCGCCTCCTGGGGGCGTGTCTTGGCCAGCTCGCTTTTCGGGGGGCACCGGGCAGGATCCAGCACCGGCCTCCTCAGCCTCCTGGCTCAGCCCCTCGGGGCCTCCGCCGGGACCGCAGCTGCTCCCCCCGTGGCACGGCAGCCCCGGGGAGGGCCGCCTGCCCCCCGACGCCATGGCAGGGGTGCCGTCGCTGACCCACACGCCGTCTCCGTCGCTGCAGGCGGCCAGTGGTGCCCCCGCTTCCACTTCCACTTCCGTTCCCTCTGGTGCCGAGCCGTGATCTTCCGGCAGCCGCCCAGTCCTTGGGTGACTCATGGCCTCTCCCGCTTTCGCCTGCGCCGCCTCCTCCCTCCGCTCTCTGCCAACAGGTGTGCCGCATGGCCCAGGCGTCTCCGCGGTGGCCAGCCCACCCGCTGGCCGGCCCTCTGCTCGGCCCGCTGGCCCCGCTGCCTTCCGTCGGACGAGCTGGCTGCCCGGCTGCCCTGGCGCGGCCCCCCTCTCCACCGCCGTGCCGCCCGGGGGCGCTTCTTGTGCCGCGTCTCGGCCAGTGCCGGCTTTTCCGCAGCCACGGCTCCCGATGGCGCCAGCAGGTACCCGAGACTTGTAGTATCTATACAGCAACGTCAGCAGGAGGAGGGCTGCGGCCGAGAGAGCCAGCCGCCCGACCAGCTGCATTTCGGAGGGCTGGCGATCCCCGCTTACCTGGGCGCCCATGGTCATTTTTCTCCGACATGCCACGGCCCAGGCATGCGAGAAATCTGGGATTAATGATTGCCAAGCCGGGGCCAGCTGCGAGCAGGCACGGCCGCCCCCTCCTCTTGGCCCCGCTCTGGAAGGTGACTTCTACCTGCAGGCAGGTAAAGAGAGAAGCCCTTGCGCTTCCTGGATGGTGTCTCCACTCGCCAGGTGTCTGCTTACCGGAGCAGAGCAGGTTTGCATATTTGAGCAAGGTGGGCCGGGCCGGACACAGTTGAGGGGAGGACGACGCCAGTCACTGCACGGCAAGGCAGAGCTCCCCGTGCAGTCGGTCTGTTTACTCAGCATCGAAAAACAGCAGCAGCTTTGCCAGGGTAGCAGAAAGCAGGCAGAGGAAACGAACGCACGGCGGAAAAATGGTTTTTCGGAGGCTGTGGCGCGCGTGCCGTGGAGGATATGTGCCACTGATCATATGTCCTCGCGTTAGCGCTGCCACGTCACGGACGCGTCCGCGTGTCCCGCCCCGCAGGGCCAGCGCGTCGTGCTCCTGGGCGCGCGTGTTGAGCAGCGCGACCGAAGGGAGGATCCGTCCCAAGAGCGGCTCTCACACCCACCCCCTCCGTGGCACGCCGTGGCACTCCAAGGAGGTGGCGCATCCCGTCTGCGCTTCGTGGCATTTCGGGCAGCTCCAAGTTCCCGCCTGGTGTCGGGACTGGTGCGCCGAGCCTGCCTTCCGTTCGCATCGGGACCTTCGCCCAAGGCTCTCTGAGCATGTGCAGAAGGCCCCTCCTCGCAGGATCCTTATGAGCAGCCAGAGGCTCAGGGAAGGCACCTGGCCCGTGACCCCTCCCTGAGCCTTAACGGAGTTCTTTGTGCAGGGAACTGGGCACGTTCAGCCTTGAGAAGAGAAGACTCGGGGGGGGGGCATGAGGTCCCCGTATGAGTCCCTCAAAGGCTGCCACGAGGAGGAAGGTCAGGCTCTCTTCCCGCTGATACCAGAGTGCCGGACACGGAAGAATCAACCCAGGTTCAGGCCAGGCATCAGGAAGAGCTTCCTCAGGGTCAGAGCAATGCGACAGGGGGACCGGCTGCCTGGAGGGGTGGGGGGCTCCCCCACACTGGAGGCATTCAAGGAGAAACTGGGCGGCCCTCTGAGTGGGGTGGTGCGGCTTGGTGTCCCGCAACAGCAGGGGGTGGACCGGATGGCCTTCACGGCCCCTTCCAGCTCTACTATTCTGTGAGTCTATGAGTCCACGTCCAGGAGGCCGTGGCAGTGGCAACAGCCGTGCGTTTCCTGCCCACATCGCCCAGGAGATGAAGCTCTGCAGGTGGCAAAGAGCCACTTGGCCGGCTGCACAGCTGAGAAAGACGCATGCCAAGACGCCCGGCTTTTCCCGCAAGGAGGAAAAGCAACCGAACCGAAGCTCAGGTCCGAGGGAGAGTCCAGGTGGGGCCTGCAGAGCTCCAGGGAGCTCCACGCCCGCCGATTCGCACATTCCCAGAATCCGCATGGTGATTTTGCGTTTGGGGAAAGCGAGTGGGGTCACAGGTAGGAGTGCCCTTGGGAGCCCCGCATGAGCCCCCCACAGGGCTGATTTCTGCCCCCTCGCCCTTGGCTACCTGTGTTTACATTCAGTGTAGGACTCGGGAGCGACCTCGGCGGTTCTCTAGTCTGACCCATGCGCCGCAGTGCAAGCAGCCCACGCCTGTCCTCGGCACACCCATTCACACCCCAGCACACGCTACACACGCGTCGCCCGCCTTGCGCTAGGGCATCTGCACGCTGCGGCCAGCTCAGCACTCCGGAGGAGCTGCCCCACTGCTCCGGGGCTCCCCGGTTCTCCAGCGCCGGCCCAGCCCATCGCGGCAAATTAGAGGCCAGCTCAGCCAAGCTGCCCCGAAGTGGTGGGCCGAGAGGGGCCTGCAGGAGAAAGTGAAGCGGGCACCAAAGGCAGGAGCAAAATTTGGGAGATTATTGGGAGCCCGAGCCGCCGCGCACGGAGGAAGCAGCCCGCCAGTATGGGCACGTCGGCACGCAGGGCCAGCCGGGGAGTTTGCTCATGGCGGGGCAGGAGAGGTAAACCGAGCCAAACGGGAAAGAAAGGTAGGCAAATAAGTGGAATGCAAACACAACGGGAGGAGAGAGAAACCACCCGCCCTGAAATGCAATTAGCGGCTGGCTGGCTGGCTGATCGTTCTAAATCCGCTTCAGCCCTCCTGGAGGACTCCCCCGAAAGAGCAACTTGCAGAAGGGGCACCGCCGGCTTGGGGAAGGAGGGTGCGCGAGAGCGTTGCGAGGCCAAGGAGGACGGCGCGCACGTGCCTGGAATAGCGATGCTGCCTCTGCCGGAGACGCGGACTGGGAGGCCCGTGCGGAGCAGATGCGGCAACAGGATGCGCGCGTTTGCAGATGCGGGGGCTTCGCAGGGCCCTGAAATTAAGGCTGCTGGCTTCCCAGCCTTTGGGGAGATGTTTTCCCCACAAAGCCGAGGAAATGGTGGCTCACAGGCCAGAGGAGACTTGCCGTGGGCAGACGCAGTGGCCGGGTGGCCCGCTGCCCAGGACTCTCTCGGGGCTCCTTCGCCTTAGACTGGGGCTGGGAGGGGACCCCCTCGGACAGGCGGCCTTCAAGCAGAGGACTGCCCTCCGCAAAAGAGGCCACTGAGGTACCGTGGCAGAAGAGGCGTTTCCTGGGGCTGCTGCTCCATACTACGGGTCCAGAAAAGGCGCAAGTCTGCGTGTGCTAATTAGTCATGGTCCGAAATGCTTCAAGCCATTTGCCTGCGAGGTCTCCATATTCGTGCCAAGGGATGCCCGGGCGGGGTGGGGGCATTTGGGGGCGGAAGACCCCAGCAGGAAGAGTCAAGGGGGCAGCTGGAGTGCCACACGCATGGGCACAAAGCTGGCTCCCCCAGGAAGGGGGTGGGAGGCACCGGGGCCCCGCTGGCCATATTTTGGCTCGGACAGCCGAGCGGCGGGGCAGGGGCCTCCGAAAGGACGACCGAGGCCTGGCTCCCGACCCCCACCTCCCACAGGGTGGGCCTTTGCAAAGCCGGTCTCGGTCGCGCGCTCGCCCCGAGCAGCGCTGGGGAGGGCGCTGGGCTCCTTGCTGCCATCTTGCTCACTGGGAAAGCGGGCTCTGCTGAACCGCGAGCGAAGACACGCGGCCCTTCTTGTGTTTCCCTGCAGGAACGAGCCTGCGCGGAGCAGGAAGAGGAGGAGGATTGAAAGCGCCCGCCGGCAGAAAGCACGGCCCGCAGGGGTTCCCGCGGAAGCCGTGTGCCGGGGAAGGTCGGATCGATCGACCTTGCTGCAGCTGGCCAGGCAGGCGAGTTGTGCGCCGGGAACGCAGGCCCCCCGGTTCCCCGGGAGAGCTCAGGGCGGAGGATCTGGGCTGACGAGAAATCAATCCAGGCTGCCGTGCCTGGCGCTGAGCCGTGCTCTGCTCCGTCTTGGCCCGCACTGCAGGGTCACTGGGAGGACTAAGCTGCCGGCCACTCACCTACTCTGCCCCACCTGGGCCCAGGCCTTGGCAGGGCGCACGCGAGCCGTCGAGCCCAGAAACGGCGCGGAGCAGAGGGGAACCCCTCGCCCAGAAAGCAGCTCATTGGGGCAGACGCGGGTGGTGCTGGCCCCGAAAGCCCCCTGCCCCGTCCCAGCAAAGTAGTCGCATCTCCGGGGTCTCGGCCGACGTGCAAAGAGACGCACCAGCTGGCAGGGCGAGGGGGACCCTGGAGGCACCGTCCCTGCCGCGACCCGAAGGCTTTCCGGGGTGGGGGGAGACACCACCCCCAGCCGGATCCTTACACTAATGAGGCACATGCCTTGCCTTCTTACGGGGCGTGGATGCAGCAGAGACAGGATGGCAACGCAAATATAAACATTTGCCGATCGCTTTTACACCCAATAATGACAAATAAGAGCAGCCATGGGAACTTCCCATCCCATTTGTCACGAGCTGTGGAATCTCTCTCTGTCCAAAAGGGGCAGAGCCACCCCCCCCCCAGCTAAACACCAGCATAGAGACGCGTCGGGCCAGGATGCCCAGATCTGGCCTGTCACCCCGTCTCGACCACCCTGGCGAGGTAAAGGAGGCCCCGGTCCCCGACCCCCCGGAGAGGCAAAGCGAGCGAGCCGCGCCAGGTTCAGAGCGGGACGGAGAGGGTTCCTGCACGAAGGCCGCGTGGGGACGGGGGGCTTGGCAGCGAGGAACGAAGCTGGCCCAGGCTGCCGAAAGCCCAGACGCGACTCCGCTGCAGCCGCCTGCCCTCCGCTCGAGTTGCTGCGCAGCGGAGCGGGCCGGTCATCCGAGACGCCGGACTGACGGCCTCGTGCGGATGCGTCTCGTTGCAGCCGCCGGAAACATGGCACGGCCACAGCGTGGCACTGCCCGGCCCCTTTGCTCCACCCTAGTGGAGCCACCCGCAAGCTGGACCCATGGACCCTCCCTCCCTCCCTCCGCCTCTGCCCCTCGCCCTTCTTCAGAACATTTTCGGCTGCCCAAACCTGCCCGCTTTTGCAAGGGAGGCAAAACCGGCGGGTAAAGCAACTCCCCACGCAGCCCATGCTTTTTTGGCAGCCCTTTGCTTCTGGAGGTACCAAACACCTTTGATGTCTCGCTTCTCCCGAAATCCACATGCAAGAAATCAGCAGCATTTCTCATTTTGTTGGGGGTTTTATCTCTTTTTATGTCCTGCGTGGCCCAAACTCTCTCAGAGAAGATTGCTTGTTCTCTAAAAAGAGGCGCGGAAGCGCAGTGCCGCCTTTGAAGGGAGCTGCAAACAAGGCCAGCCGGGCGACTGCCCCCCCCCCCAGCCCCCCATCTGTGAACGCAAAGCAAAGAGCCGAGCAGGCGCTTTTTGCCCCTGCCGCCAGCCGTTCGAGCTGGGCCCCCGCCCCATAATCGAGGGTCAGGTACGCCTGCGAGCGCGTCCTCTCAAAGCGGCCCTTCAGGTGTGGGGAGCGGCGGCCGACACGGCTGCATCCGGCTGTGCAACATCTGCCGAGCCGCTGCCCCGCTCTCT